ATGGCCCTTTGGTAGGTGTTTCGCGCTATTAGAAAGTCCTTCTTATATAGGTAAGCTTCTTGCATAGAAGTCTCTTTTAGCTTTTGCGAGAATATCCTTTGGTAATAGGACACGTCTCTTCTTAGCTTAGTAAGCTCCTAGCTCCACCATAGCTTAGGCTTTGGTCCTTGCCTTAGCTGTGGGATAGCTTTATCTGCAGCTTGTTGTATTACTAGAGTAATTGCTTCTCCAATTGCTTCTAGTTGCAGCTTTAGCTGTTGGTCTTGGCCTAGGAGTAGATTTCTTGAGTCTGCTTTCCTTGGGCTATTGATCTAGTCTAGGCTCTGTAGTATTGCGTTGCCTTAGATTGCTGTTGCTAGTTCTTCTTGAAATAGCAGCTAGTTAGCCCTTTTTGTGTTGTACTTTTGCTGGGCTGCTGGGTTGTCTACTAGTTCTGTTGTTGTTTGGATAGAGAAGAGCAGCCCGTAGTGGTCTGAGCCAGTTTCTGTAGTAACTTGCCAGTCTTTAACTTTGTTGGCTATTTCTGGCGTGGCAAGTGATAGGTCTAATACTGGCTCTCTTGATAGGTGCGGCCTAAAGAAGGTCCCAGCACCTGGGGTGTTGAGTAGGCTTAGGTTTTGGTCCTCTATCCAGTCGGCTAGCTCTTGAGCGCCTTAGCTGGTGGTTGGGCATAGAGGATCCCACCAGGGGTGATGCTCGTTAGCGTCAATAGCTAGTATTGTTGCTGCTGGTAGCCTAGTGCTCAGGAGGACTCTTGGGAACGTCTTAGTCCCTAGTGGACCTTTTTCGTTGTACTACCAGTCAGCTTACATGTATCGAAATTTCCGATTTACGATGATATCTAGTATGTTCTGGTCTAGGACTAGTCTGTGCTACTTGATCTATTGACAAGATGACTAAATTCTGAATGGGCCGAATACGCTGAGCCAAGATCCTGCAAAGCATCTGGCCGAGATGGAAAGGCACAAAAGAGTAGGAGGCGGTGAAGATGTATTGGAGATCCTATTTGCTGCGCCTGTGAATCTATTCGCTACTCATATTACGGGAGGATCTTGTTTGCATATTCATTGCACTCTTCCGCAGGGCCGATTGTTTCGCCAGACTTGTGGTCATCCTCATTGACCCAACAGCCAATGGAGACGATTGAGATGAATTCCGAGGTATTTGTGTAGCAGGGCTGTACTTGTCGGTAACATTCAAACGGAAAAACTTGGAAAGATAGCAGGGGTAGGTTGGAGAAGTAGCAGTATTTGCGCTGCAGAATTAATGTGAAATGCCCTCACAATATTGACCCTGTCTGTAAGTAAGCAGACCGGATGCGCCAAGCCTACTTACTTACGTACTTGGTTAGCGCGACAACCGTCTGACCAAGGGCCCGTGAACGTCATCACCAACCCAAACAGATTACTACGCCCAGTGAAGAAAGCGGGGCGACAACCGCAAAAACACTCCACCAGGCCAGTCATTGTGAATTTACGTATGCGCCATGGCTTCTCCAGCTGTTGAATCTCACAGCACGTCGGATCCGCAGAGTCCATCAACTGCGGCAGAACTGTCCGAAGCTCTCAAGGTCGAGGTGTATGATCGCGAGGGCAAAACTCACATCTTGGGCGACCTGGTCAAAGGACAGAAGAGTGTGTTGATATTCACGCGGCATTTCTGTGAGTCCTCGTAGGCATAGCGTTGTCGAGAGAGAGCCTGGTTTGCATGGGACGGGTGCACCAGTTCAGTCTGGAGTACTTACGGACACGGCTATGCGCTAGTGATACTGTTCATCCTAGAGGTGCCCGTGAACTACTATGCAAAAAGACTAATTCCAAATCATACAGGGTGTTTGAACTGTCAAGCTTATATCCGGTGCATCAGCGAGTCTATTCCGCCGTCGAACTTACCGCCCTCAACACAGAGTATGTCTTGCCATACTGTATACGACCCTTGAACATGAAGCACAACCATGCTAACTCCAGAGTCAAGTTTTGATGATAGGATGTGGGTCCTACCAACCCATCGACATGTACGCGGCAAAGTCGGCGTCTGCATACCCCATTTACACGGATCCTTCGCTGCGCCTACACGGCCTCTTTCGCTTCAAGTACAACTTGGCGGAAGGGAAGAGCGGTGATGAGCAAAGAGACTATATGCGGAATGCAGGCAGTGCCCTGGCAAGGATACTGGGCGGTATCAAGGGCGCACTGGGCAGTATACAGCACGTGACTCAAGTTGGGCCCAAGGCTCTGAATGGTGGAGAGGTGGTGATATCTGCTGGTGAGTCTGTTCCTTTATCTATATATATACGGAAAGCGCATGCACTTCTTTTTCCTCAAAACCGGTGTCGAAAAGAAAAGAGAAAGAGTACTGACATGGTGCGTGTGTAGACGGTGAATGCGAGTACATCTATCGCATGCAGAATACGGTAGATCACACCAACGTGTCTGAGCTGGCACGTCTGATTGGTGTCGAAAGCAAGCCACTCGACACGGACGACAAGGCGAACCAAGCCTGTAGTGATTCCTGCGCGCCTGGCGCAAAGTAACTTGTCGCTACCAATGTCTGCTCAGACACACGGCTTTCTTCGTCTTCCCTGACCAGATTCCAACGCGTCGCTGATAACAAGTCAATATTGCCATTTTGGTTTTCCCTCTACACTGAGCACTAGCTGCACTGAGTATGGCGAAAATACCTCTCCAACCTTAACTTAATATCAAGCTCCTACCACCCCCTCGTCTTTACAAAGTTTCGTTTCGATCCGTGCCAAGCAAGTAATCAGATTGTCATCATGGCTGTATCTGAGACATGGAGCAGGGGTGCAAGACTACAGATGTGTTTGGTAAAACTATTGTTTTGTTTCCTGCAGGTAGCATACATTTGTTTGCACACAAATGTGTTTCAGAAGACAATCCACTCGTCAGCCAATCAAGTCGATGGATACTATGTGAATGTGATACATTATCGGAGTCGTCGGAGTGGGTGGGTATATACATCAAAGCTCCATATACAGATAAGGCAGATGGAAAAGCCAAAAACAAAGCAACAAGCGAAAAAAGCAACCCCATATGCCCAACAAAAAAAAACGCTTCATTAACCCCCCACCAGCCCAACCGATTGCGGTGAGAAGCTGAGAAAAACCATGATAACCAAAAAAAAGTATATAAACCACGGTTTCCTTTCACCAAGCACTTTGAGTTTGGTATTGCCTCCTCAACTTTGTAACTTGTTCATGTTCTCTGCGCAACGCCCTCCAGTCCAACTTTTCAAATGCAAAACTCCATATGCGCTCAGCAACGCTCAAACCCCACTTGCTCATGGGGCCGTCATCGTCGTGATGGGCATTTGCGCGGCCCACGTGCTGTACTAAGCTGGGCGTGACGGCATATCTCAGTTCGTTGCGCTCATTGGCGAAATCTTCGATTAGGACATCCATGTAGCCGAGATGGCGGTCTTTGAAGTAGTCGATTAGCTCGCCGGCCTTGACGTTGGGGAAGACAAAGGCTTGGCCGCAGCAGCCAAAAGTGGGCATCTCGTGGACGCCGACGGGCATGGGCTGGACTGTGATGCGGCCAAAAGCGAAGAAGAGCAGGATGAGGATGGCGAGAATCGAGTATGTGGCGAGGAAGGTGCGGCGAGTGAGAAGCGTCACGGAGAACTTTGTCGTGGGCTGGAGGCAGCGGACAAAGAGGAAGAAGACGGTGGGAATCATGGCCACGTAGATGGAGTTCTTCAGGTACGTCTCCCATTCCTCGGCATTCCAGCCGAGAAACTCTTCCGTGTAGAAGAGGCGGAGGTAGAGGAAGTCGGGCTTGGCGCGTTGCAGGGCGGCCTTGCGCTCGGCCTCGTCGATGGCTGCAATGGTGCGGTGATACCAGCCATCTGCAGCTACAATGTCGTCTTCAAACAGGGCAATGTAGGGCGTGTACTGGTCCCTGCACTTGTCGAGGAGGTATCGGTAGTCGAACAGGGCCTTTTCGTCGACCTTGTGCTGTGTCTCGAGATTGCGGATGTATTGCATGCGGTCGAAGCCGTATTCGTACGTCAAGACATCATCGGCGAGGCCGGCAAGCCAGGCCTCGTTGTAGGCGGGATGTATTTCGGGCCGCGAGTGAGGGATGAAGACTATGAAGTAGATTTCCTGCCGCTCCTCTGGCGTCAGGCCCTCGAGGAGGGAGCCAACAGCATCGGGCAGATACTGGGTGCCCTCGCGCTTGAACGAGGGAATGCCGACACACAGGCGTCTCTGCCTCTCTGGGCCGGCCTTGACGACGGCGGCGGGGTCGTAGGCGGAAATAAAAGCCTCGGCTTGCTGACGCCTGAGGGCGGAATAGCGCGGAGTGTAGGCTTTGTGGGGATCGAAGAAGATGGAGGTGGGATCGCGGGCGGATATCGAGTTGATGGTGTAGATGAAGCTGAAGGCGATGAAGACGGCGAAGCCTATGACGATGCGGGAGGGTGAGAAGTGCATGGCTGGCGGCTGGTGCCAACGAGTGGTGTGAATGGTTGACGGCAAGGCGTTCAAGGGCGCGGCAGCATTGCTAGCAGAGGGGTGGCAGTGAGGGAGGCGAGAGGGGGCGAGGGCAGAGGCACAGACAGAAGCAGGTCATGTCATGGTGGTGAATGCGCGCCGTGGGTTGACGTGTGCAGAGGAGAAAAAAAGATAGGAGCAGCACAGCGCTCGGTAGGGAATGTACTAGTGGGTACGAGAGGAGGTCTGAGCGGAGGCTCCACCAAGGCTGAGGCTGGCCGGCTCGGATCTGCCTGCCGCAGCTGAGCATGATAAAATTAGCCTTTCGCACCAGCACCAGCAGTGGCCGACGCCTCATGCGGTGGGCACGAGACAAGCAGCCAAGCCCGCGAGTGCGCGGCGACGGCGGCTGAGCGACTGTTGGCGGGAACCGTCGATGCGCGTGCTCGAGGCGTCTTGGGGGGGCGAAACGCAGAAGCAACCATGGCAGGGCCCGCAGCCCGCGTCGCAGCCATCGGGTGTTTGCAGCCCTCGTGCGCGAGTAAGATGACACCATGGGCGGGCGGCGCCGGGGTGTGTGTGTGTGTGTGTGTGTGCGCGTGTGTGCGTGTGCTGGGCAGCCTCCTAATCCGATGGCTTGTTTGATGAGACTGATGGATCGCAGGACTCTCGCAAAGGCGCGTCGAGGGCTCGGCGTTCAATGCCTTTGTTCGGGGAGAGCCATTTGCGGTGTGGCCACGGGCTGGAGCTGATTGGCTGCGCGGGCGGGCGTCATGCGTAAGCACGCCCGTCAATCCGCTACCTAGTGTACTTGTAGTGTGGCATGGTGGGCGTAGCAGCAGTAGCAGTAGCATACATGGGCTCTGAATAGGGGCGCCGGTGGTTGAGCAGCCCGCCCGGCACCGTCGGACTGCACGCAGCTTTTATATCGCCTTAGGCCTCCGTCCACCTCCCGTAGCGGCGGCGCATGCGGCGCCCTGTTGGTGCCGTCGGCTGGCGTTGGCGTCCCAGCAGGCGTCCACGTGCCTTGGAAGACGCGCCTGGGTGCCGCCCACGTCACGTGACGAAGACCTGACGCCGCGCACGTGACGCGTGCTCCGCGGCCTGGCCCGCCTGGCTCCGGCCGCATTCACACACACACACACACACACACAAGTCAAGCAGCGTCGAGTGTGGAGTGCTCCTCGCGCGTTTCCGCGCTCTGCACACATGGACGCCAGCGCCATGGCCACAGCCCTCTCTTGCATAGCTGCACAGCGCGCGCCCACATCATCGGCGTCGAGGTGGCGGCGGCGCGCCACCACCATGGCGAGCAGAGACGGCGCACTCCCCCAAATGCCCTCTGCCATGGCACGCACTTGACTCACCACGCGCATCCACATCACCACTGCTGCTCCCTACCAGTAGTGTACACATGCTGCCGCCCGCGACCTGCCTGCTTCGGCATCCATTGATCCATACATACAGTCATCGCTGCCTGACTCACCCAGCCAGCCTTTGCTCACTCCCCCGCTTGCCGTGCCCATATATCCATCAAGCTTACCACACAGCTCTGTCCCCGCGCATATACGCACAACCACAACCACAGCCGCCCGCGCCATGCCCAAGAAGCATACGCCCTCATACACGACAGCAAAGCCTTCCTACGTCCACCCTTCGCTGCAGAGCTCGCGCTCGCCTGCGTCGTCGTCGTCGTCGTCAGCCGCGGAACCCCAGACTGTCAACCAGCGCATTCAGCAGCTGCGTCGCGAGCAGGCCCCGCGACCAACACCACAGCAGCGGGATGAGCTCACATCGGCAGTAAGCAACCGCACCGTTCCGCCCGAGCTGCGGCGCATACTGCACATACCCGAAGTTAATGCTCCCAAACCAAAGACGAATGCCAGGATGCGCCGTGCCGTAGGAGGCGCGCGACCGCCACCGGGTCCAGCAGCGCCCACGAGCTGGCTGCTGACGAGCCGACATGCGCCGTCTTACACCAAGAAGAAAACGGGCGGCGTGCAGAAGAGCGTGGTTCGCTTTGGCACATTGGCACGGGCTACCGACGAAGAAAGGAAGGTATGACGGCCCTGTCCCCCACATACACACACTGGCGTTTGGTTGTCGTCCAGGCTTAATGCTGTAATTCAGGCTTCTTACTCATGACAGCGCCTACCGCCCCCAAGAAGCCTCGTCCACCAATGCATGCGAACCTTTGCGTTGCACTGGCAGCAGCTTTCTGAATACGAGCAACACTACATCCCCTCATTGCCCATTTCGCTCAAGGAGTGCCTGATAACCTACCTGACGTTATACCGAGAGAAGGGGTGTCTGGATTTCAAGTCGTTCAAGATATTGTTCCAGAATGAAGACGGCGATGCCGCTGGTTGGGACGAGGTGCAGATTCTCGACCTTTCGGGACTAATGAACCAAGCCTTGACGTTGCCCGATGTGGGAAAATGCCTCAAACGCCCGAGTGCAGTAGCAGCGGCCAATGTCAAGATGGAAGCACTGCGTATTACCGACGGCGTCGCTGATTCGTGGGAAGAAGAGGCAGACGAAGCGACGTCGGCTCCGACACCGCCATCACCAACAGCGAGGCTGCAAGTCCCGTACTTTGCCAACCTTAGCCGGTTATCTCTCGCCAATCCGGGGCAGTGGGCATCGTGGCCAGACCTGGTTCGTATTTCGCCCAGCTTGAACAAGATCACACACTTGTCGCTAGCCAACTGGCCCCGACCATCCATGACGCCCAATGCAAACACGGCTTCGATGATATCCAGGCACACGAGCGTCTCGCTGGGCGGGTCGCATTTCTACTCGGACCTCGACGACGACTGGCACGAAGCGACCAACATTCTGCGCCGCTTCTCCAAAGACACGTACTCGCTGCAGTGGCTGGACCTGGAAGGGTGCAACTGGCTCAAAGCGTTGACGTCGCATGCGGGCCGGTCGCCGATGGATGCGGGCCTGAGCAGCGAGGAATGGAGCACGCAACAGGGCATACCAGGGCCCGATTGGAACGACGCATGGCGGCGTATAACCTATGTAAACGTGTTCCAGGGGTGGATTCCAAGTGACAGCCAGAGCCTGCAGAACATGCCTGCAGGGATAGTTCCGGTGCAATTGCTGCGGTGGCTGCGCGAGAATAAGGACCGGGAGGATGTTAAATGGCGGCTAAACCCGCACGAGACGGGCCACGCCGTGGCAGAATGGGTGAACCGGGAAAAGGTGGCTCGGGTGGTTGCCATGGACATTCAAGGGATGCGGAAACGCGGCGAGGGAGCTTGGTGTCGGATAGATTTTGGATGGGGAGCTTCTGGAGAGAAGATTGCATAGCGTGTTGTTGTAGTATGGAATGATGCAGGGGTGTGTGTGTGTTTGTTGCATGAGAGGGAAGGGAATGCTTGATCATGCCACGTGCAATTAGGATGGGATTGGTGTGGTGTGGTATGCAAGCAAACAAACAAGCAAACAAACAAACAAGCGAAGAAATAAACGACCAAGCAAACAAACAAACGACGCAATAAGCGAAGCAAGAAGGAGTTTGGGCTTGTTTGCTAGTAGGCATTGTGGATAAGCACCGACTGTATAAGCTCGTATACGGGCAGACTGTCAAGGACGTCTACTGTCTGTATCTTGTCGCTTATCTCTTGTGTTAGTGGTTCGGCAGTACATGACTCGAGTGTATTACATGTAGTAGGTATGTGAATATGTACGTAGGTAGGTAGGTAGGTAGGTAGGTGGTAGTTTGCAGCTGTCACGACGTCAGGGGACATGACATGGATAGGTATGCCATGGTTGACGTGGGAGTGGAGTTGAACGGGTGAAGCTACTAGTTTGGGCGCTAACCCGGTGCTAGTACTTAGGGTGTCTGATGTGCTTGGTAGAGCGGTAGATTACGTATGCATGTATACCTAGTCGAGATGAGGGGATTGCAGGGGTGATTATGATCATTACTACTATTAGCTTTAGCGGTTGGGGAGAAGAAGAAGAAGATGAAAAACAAAAAACACGCAACGCACATACTCTTGGGTATATAGTACAGAGGGCCGTGCATGGGGCGCCAAACAAAGTTCTCATCTAGAAAGTAGTTGATGTAGGGAAGAACAAAGGGATTGTTCATGTATCAGTAATAAAGGGGTCGAAAGTGGGTATTGATGCGGCAAGGATCAAAGACATGAGATGCGAGGACGTCAAAAAAAGAATTTAGGGCATATTCTGGAACAAACGTGTTATTAGAGAGTCATCTCCACCGCGCGGCTGGGGCGTACAGGCATGCTGACTTTTTTTTGGCGCCGCGCGACAGCCCTACAAGGCGGTGGGGGGCGGCGCCGAGAAGTCACGTGGGGCTGGCGAATCAAAGAGGACGAGACTTTTCTTTTGCAACGGCGATTAGTCGCAGACGGGGAGAGGCGAAACGGCATGGCTTGAGTCTTTTTTTGGCACGCGCAGCAGCAGCAGCAGCAGGCGCGAACACCTGACGGGTATCTGGAACAGTGACACGGCAACCTGCAACGCATCTGGATGGCGCGGTGCTGGCCCCGCGACGACGCTAGATGGCGACACGAATGATGACGCGTAAGTGCGGATGAATAGCGAACCGAGACACGGGGTGTGCACGTTGTTCAACCCAACAAGCTTCCATTGCAAGTATACTATGTATATGTCGGTGGGGGATGCGGAGGGCCAAGACGGGGGAAATTACGAGGCGGACCCAAGAGGGAATATGATAGCCCACGTCGCATTAGAGTGGGTATGCAAGTGACGGCAGTGGCAGCAGCAAGAAGAAAACAAAGGGCAGCGGCGTTGGTGCGGCCGGGTCAGCTCGCCGAGGGAAAAAAAAAGGTGCGGCGTGCCATGCAGGTGGTCCGAGGGCTGGAACGGGGTGGCGTTTTTTTTCTCTTGGGGGGGTGAGTGTGAGATAGGCGAATTGGCGGGCGGTGCTTTGCTTGGAGGCGCGGGTGCCAAGACCGGCTCTTGTTTCTCAGAGCTGCAGGCGAGTCAAGCCCTGGTGGCAGCTCGGGATGTGACGGCCACGGTCTAGTGGTGGGACTGCACAGCGGCTCTGGCAAGAGGGGAAGAGGGGGATTGCTGGCCATACGTAGGTGTAGTATGTATTGGTAGTAGTAGTAGCAGTAGTGGTGGTGGTAGTGCACCCAGGGCAGGGGAGCTTGGTGATGACTACATAGACCCTGCCATTCATCCGCCCAACCAGCCCGGCCCAGCCATGCAGCCACAGTGGCCGGTAGGTTCCTGTAACTGTATTGAGCTGACGCGACCAAGCGCTCGACCAAGTGCAGCTGTGTTGGTGCGGTCGAGTGCCTTGCAGGGCAGCGGTTACATGTAATGTACCGTCCAGCACACAATGTCTACGGCCCTGTATGTAGTATGTTGGCGACGGGCTGCATTGATTGGCAGAGAGGGCGGTGGGAGCGCTAGGCCAGAACAGGCAGCACGCGGCGTTTCATCCTCTGGTCCCAAGGCCAGCGCCGACGCGCGTCACCATCTGCCATGGCCCGCCGCCCCCAGCGTCGCCCTCAGCATTGCCATGATTGTCATGGCCGCGCTCCGGCCGGCCCCTAGTCGTCATCGCCCGTCGCCGTCGCCGTCGCCGCCATGCTTTTTACCTGTTGCCACTAATACCCATCTAGCACACGCCTGCACACCACCCACCTCTCGTCAGCACCTCGTGTCCACAGGCACTGATAAGCTCCAGCTGAAGTGGAAGCGTCTGATAGTAGACCTGTCATGCCATGGCCTGGACTCGCCCGCCCAACAGCCCCCACCCGCCGCCTTTGCGCTCTCTCTCTCTCTCTCTCTCCATGCATCATTCCATACGCCGACGTCCATGTGTATACGTATGTATGTATAGATGTATAGTTAGTAGTAGTGGTAGCAGTAGTAAAGTAGAGACAGGGGGCGTCGGCGTGCGCGAACGGCTTTGGCACAAGCTTTGCCGCGAAAAGGCACAAGACGCCGGGTGGGGGCTTCTTGGCCCAGGGCAGGCGGTCCTGCAGGCCCGAGCGCGGCATGCTTTCCTCTGAAACTCGTCGCATCCTTGCGTGGCCTTCTGCCGTTCCTTTCGCTCCGCCCCCTCCCCTTCAAGGCCGCCGCCTGTGTGTTTGTTCAAAAAGGCCTGCCACGCCGGCTCCGCCAAATCCTCGCCGTCTTTTTGCTCCACCATCCTCAGCGCTGCTGGTTCCTCGCGCGCCCCCGACCCCTCCGCCCCTTTCCCTTCGTTTGCCCGCTCTTTCCTTCCCCCTCGCCTGCCCCAATTACCCCGTTCCACCTCTCATTTCCTCTCTCCCCCACGATCGCCTTGCCCGTTCCCCAGAGCAGCCTGGTTTCGCCGATAAGCTCCAAGACGCCCTGCCGAAACTGGACGTGTCGGATCTTCCCTCGTGCACCATCCAATCTCACCCACCGCCTCTGCTCTAATACCCCCGTGCTCCCTCGACCCGCCTGCGCATTTCAAGCCTGCCCGCCGCGTCCTCGACCCCGACTCCACGTCGCGCCTCGTCTCACTTGCCCACGCCACGCGCGCTCTCTCTCTCTCTCTCTCTCTCTCTCTCTCTCTCTCACACACACACACACACTCTCTTATACACCCTCTCTCTCACTCTCTCGCTCTCGCTCTCGCTCTCTGCCAACCCTCGCGCCCACGATGCTCTCCTTCAAGAAAGCCCTCGTTATTTCACTCGCCTGCCTGACCCTCTTCTTCATCTTCAAGTCGCAGCACCACGGCAGCACCGTTCCCAACTACCGCAATGCCAACGACATGCCCCGCCCCACCGCCTGGGTAAACCCCGCCGACCGCGAAAGAAATAAGCAAAAAGAGGCAAAGGAAAAGGCTGCAAAGGAAAAGGAGGCGCAAAAGGCAATGGCTGACAAGGCCACCAAGGCTGACAAGGCTGACAAGTCGTTCGACGTGCCCGATGCGCCTCCCAAGAAGCCCAAGACGCAGGTCAGCCTCGATGAGCTGCGCAAGAAGCCTCTCACCGAGCAGCTCGAGTACCAATTCCCCTACGACGTCGACACAAAGACACCAGCCTACATCTGGCAGACGTGGAAGTACACCCCGGCCGATGGCAAGTTTGAAGAGATCTTCCGCGAGCCAGAGGCAAGCTGGAGTATCCACCACCCTTCGTTCGTCCACGAGGTCATTACCGACAATGTCGCCACCCACCTCATCAGACACTTGTACGCCTCGATCCCCGACGTCATCGAGGCCTACAATTCCCTGCCCTCGCCTGTTCTCAAGGCCGACCTGTTCCGCTACCTCATTCTCCTCGCGCGCGGCGGCATCTACTCGGACATTGACACCTCTGCATTGAAGCCAGCCTTTGAGTGGATTCCCTCTGATGTCCCCGCAAACTCGTACGGCATGGTCATTGGCATCGAGGCAGATCCAGACCGCCCAGACTGGGCCGAGTGGTACTCTCGCCGCATCCAATTCTGCCAGTGGACGATTCAGTCAAAGCCCGGCCACCCGGTTCTCGTCGATATCGTGGCCAAGATCACGCAGGAGACTCTACGCCGCAAGCGCGAAGGCAAGCTCACCAAAGACCACAAGGCCGTCATCGAGTTTACCGGCCCCGCCGTGTGGACCGATGCCATCTTTGCCTACTTCAACAACCCCGACTACTTTGACATGACCACAAGCAAGGGCAACATCACCTGGGAGAACTTCACTGGCATGAAGGCCCCCAAGAAGGTGGGCGATGTCATTGTTCTTCCCATTACCAGCTTCAGCCCTGGTATCAAGACTATGGGCGCTGGCGAAGATGACGACCCAATGGCTTACGTCAAGCACAGTTTTGAAGGTAAGTCTGCAGCAATGCACTCTGTGCGTCTTGCATAGAGTTTAGCTCCCTTTGATAGAGTTTAGTTGCCTTTGTACTAACGGAACTACAGGCACCTGGAAGCCCGATAACGAGCGCCACATTGGTGAAATTTTCAACTAGACTGTTCCCTCGAAACCGTTGCACGCCCATCCACGACAACCACACAAGTCGATTGGACGCGCATGGCGTGTATTAGGTCGATTTCAAGCAACAAAGACATGCATAAGAACCCAGCATACACGCTCCGGGCTTCGGGCATTCTAGACCCGGATCGTGCGGGACGGCTGTATTACTATGCACACGTACACCAGACAGGCTGTGGTGCGGGCCGACTTGATTTTATTTTTCTTCTCTTGATTTTTTTTGGGCGTCCCGTCCGCACGCGGGCCCTGTGTATAACATGGATGCAGCTGAGGAGGGAGGAGTTAGACATGGAACATGGAAAAACGAGAAGCACAGGCAAAACAAGACCAAAGATACGGGCTGGCCATGCTCTGTGGTGATTATGGCGGTTGTGGGCTTGGTACTCACACGCACACGGGAAAGACGTTTTTTGGGACCTTTTTTTTACTCGGCTTCAAGCGCTGAAGCTCGAATTTACTGACGGGACATTTTGGCGGAGAGGTTGATGTATTCTGTGTATGTTGTATTTAATGAAACAATTGTACTTGTTCATGTGATGTAGTTTACGTACCTGAGGCGTGCACAGGTGCAAGCATGTGTTGTTTGTTCAAACATGGCGTCTTAGCACGTGCATGGTTTTGAGTAGATTGCATTTGACAATGATAATGACCAGCATGCATTTATTATACATTACAGACACGGTGCATGTTGCACAGGGGGTAATAGAACCGGATTTTAGACGAAACAGATGGACAAAAAAGAGCGCCCGGGGGAGGTATCCTCAATTTCAATAGCCTTGTCTCCAAAGCCATGGCAGGGCAGGCGTGATGATTACTTGAAGGCCCTGCCCACCTTGTCCACGACGCTCAACAAACTGTGGCCGAGCGTAGGCCGCCGCTCAAACGCCTTGTCCCGTGCACATCGCCGCTTGTACTCTCGCTCTGTCTCGGGATCCAACACTCCGTAGTAAGATTCGTGTTGCCCATCGCCGATGCTGTCATCATCATCATTGTGGTCGTCGTCGTCAGAATCATCATCATAATATTCAGGGGCGAAATGCGCATGCTTTTCTCGGCTGTCTGGAGACCGTGACGAAGACGTCGACCCCTGTGACGTTGCAGACACTGTGCTGTATGTATTTCGGTACTGGCGGCGAAGGCGGTAGTGCTGCGGCGACGAGGCTGAACGTGTGTACATGGGCGGGGCTTGGGGTGTGTAGGTCGCTGGTGGTGGCGAGGCGGGGTGGTATTGGCGTTGGAAATGCTGGGGGTCTGGCTGGCGGATGGGAATGGGCTGCTGCGATGGGTGGTGCTGGTTGGTGTAGGACGACGTCGACAATGTGCGTCGAGGGCCTGTGTATGCTTGGGACGTGCGCACGTGTGAGAGTGAAGGCGATGATGAGTACGTGTGGTGGTGTTGCTGCTCTGGGATGGGTGGGAAGTAGCCCTGAGAGGAAAAGGAAGAGGGGTCGTCAGGTGTTGTGGGGTAGGGTGGTGCTGGTGGTGGTTGTTGGTGGTGGTGGTGACGGGGCTGATATTGTGCGTGGAGGTAGCCGGATCTGATGGAGTCGAACGACGACATGGTGGATGAATTGACCACGGCAACTTTGCACGCGGGCGTATGTGCGTCGTCGTGGCGTTTATATGTCTCTGGCGAGTATGCTCCGTGGGCTGATGCTTCGCGTGTGCCCTTGACCCTTGGACGTGGATGCCAGGTTTGGAGATCGGCGAGGCTATATGGCTGATGCAGTAGTGTTGACAACGGGCAGTTTGTAGCATGGCTGGCAATTGGTTTCAACGCGCATTGATGATTGTAACGAGTTGCAGTATACATGGCCCCTCTTTCCTAGCGTCGTGGTCTTGGCTGCAGTGCATTTGCATCGACAGCTTAGACCGGTGCCCATCTCTGACTTGGATGGTTAGCGAGTCTGTCCATCACGTACATGGCAATGGCTCTGGCCAAATGGGCCTTTGCTACGATTCAGAAAGATCGCTCGTCATGTGTAAAGCGGAAGCGCGAGGATCACGACTACTCGAGGGGCAACATGAGCCTTCGGCAAGATGATGTCACAGCCCTGACCGGCCTGTGTTGGCGAGCATCGGAATGGTGTGCAGCGAACACATGTTGTTGGCGGAGACGACATCGATGTCGATCGCTTCCAGAAGCCCGCGCCGTGGCATAAGCTCGGCCATATTCTGCGCCAATCCAAGGCTAGACATGTGGTGTGTATGGTATATAGTGTGTAGGTGTACCCGGCCACGGCTGTAGCTGGAACAAGGCCGTTTCGTCTGCCAGAGCTGGGTGCCAGACGAGTGCGGGTGCGACTCACGTGAACGCATGTGGTCACTGTTTACATACCAGCGTGCAGGCTCGTCTGAACCTGGTACTCTTATACAGACTTGCATGTAGGTGTTACTATATACAGCAAGATGTTAGTGATGCACTACATATACTCAGTCACGTGATGTCCGACACTGCGCCACGACAGGCATCGCCACGATTGCAGCCACACCCCAACGGTACACACACACACGCACACGCACACGCACACGTTGTCGTTGTGGCTGCCTGCGCCTTTGCAACCACTCAGGCGGCCCGCGGACCACGCCAAGCGCTTCTCCGTCATGGTTCGCTCCATTTCGCTTCACCTACCCCACCACACACAGGGCGGAGCATAGACTCCGCCACGGTCACAGGCACGTCCACGTCTGCGTCTGCTGCCACAGCCATACGCAAGACATTCGCACATTCTTCTCTCGCGCGCGCATCCACAACTCCCGCCCTTTGCCACTGTGCTCCCGCCCATCTTATCTATTCTCCCTCCTGCCACCCGCCCACTGCCCGCATCTTAGTCCGCCATGTCGTACTATAATCAGCCCCCGGGTGGCTACCAACAGCCGTACTATGGCCGTAAGTCGTTAGCCTCCTCCTGTACAGCCCGATCATGCTGCATCCTTCACCCGGGCCACTGCTTGGCGCTGACCGTCGCTTGGTACTAATACCCCATAGAAGCCCCTCCATCCCAAGCATACGGACAGCCACAGCACCACCAACAGTACCAGGTACCACCAATGCAGAATCAACAGTACGGCGGCTATCCGCCCCAGCAAGGTTATGGCCAGCAGCCACCCCATGGCCACTATGGCGCTCCACCCCCAAACCCCTATGGTCGCCCTCCTCAAGGCCAATACGGCGCCCCACAGCCTGGCTACGGTCCTCCCCCCACACATTATCAACAGCCGCCACCAGGTCAATACGGCGCCCCTCCTCAGGGGCACTATGGCGCACCCCCTCCCCAGCAAGGACAGTATGGCGCGCCCCCACCAGGCCAATATGGAGCACCTCCACCCCAGGGACAGTATGGAGCATCCCAATCGCGTGGCTATGGAGGCCCACCAACTCAGCCCTCTCTCGGTTATGGCCACGAGACTGCCAACATTGACATGATGAGGGACGTCGAGGCCATTCGGAAGGCCATGAAGGGCTTTGGTACCGACGAAAAGGCGCTGATTAGTGTTCTGGCTAAAAAAGACCCTATCCAGATTGGAACTATCCGCGCACAGTACAACCAGCGCTTGATGCGCAACTTGGTCCAGGATCTTGAAAAAGAAACCAGCGGGTACTTTGCAAGGGGCTTGGTTGGAATTGCTCGAGGACCTTTGGTGGCCGACTGCTACAACCTCATGGAAGCCATGAAGGGCCTGGGTACCAAGGAATCCATCCTAGACGATGTTCTCGTTGGCCGCAGCAATGCTGATGTCAATGCCATCAAGCAAAAGTACCAGGAGCTCTTCCACCGGTCACTACAAAAAGACCTCCAAGGCGATCTCAGCGCTGGCACGGAGCAAATGTATAACATGATTATTGCTGCGAACCGTGCTGAGGACTCGCATCCTGTGATTCCGCAGGAGATCGAACAGGCCGTGACGGACCTCCAGGCCGGCATTGGCGGTTTCGTCGGCAAAAACATTCCGCAGGTCTGCGGCATCCTCACCAGCAAAAACGACGCCCAGCTGCGAGCCATGGCACAAGCGTACCAGCAGCGTTTCCACAAGTCTCTCGACAGCGTGCTCAAGTCCAACTTTTCAGGCCACATGGAAGATGTGCTCCGTCTGATTGTGCGCCGAGCTATAAACCGGCCCGAAGCCGAAGCCATCCGCCTGGAAGAGTCCATGGCTGGCTTGGGAACAAAGGACGAACTCTTGGTACAGCGTGTGGTGCGCTGCCACTGGGACAGGAATTTCATGAATGCGGTTAGCCACGCGTACAAGCAGCTGTACAAGAAGGATCTTGTCAAGAGGATAGAAGGAGAGACACGCGGTGACTACGAGAGGCTCATGGTTGCTTGTGTGAAGCCTTGAGGGGATACGTGTTTATTGGATTGGCTTGGGTTGGCTCTTTGATTTCATGATATCACGTACTTTTTCTATGGTTCTTGTTCTTGGACTTGTTCATTCTTCATGAAGAGGGAGCGATTGGTTAGCGTGTTTATTGGTGTTTTGGTCAACCTGGACATAGTGGCAGGGAAGCTCGGAATACGCTTCGTATAATAATCAACGTCTTATCTCTTACAAATGTTTCTTCAAACAAGTCTACACCATACATTGACAAGAAGAGTGCCAAAGTCTTGAATTTGCCAAAAGCATACTGTACAGTCCAAACTTTTTTTTTTACCTGGAATACGCAGGTGGAAGATCGTGCTCAGCTACATGTCCATCAGCACCCTCGCGCCTCAACATTTCCTGGGCTACATAATGCTCTCCCTCTCTCATTGGCGGCGGTGGCTCCTCGGGCGGCCCCAGCTGACCCCCAGGCCTGGTCATGGGCTCGATACGAACGTTTTTCATTTCAACCTCATGCTCCGACTCTTTGCCCGCACAGTCCAGCAACAGGTTGTACTTGACGTCGTAGTGCAGCGCAACCGCATATGTCGTAAAGGTCGGGGGCACAATGTTGGCAATGTGCAGGTCGTCGAGTAGCGTGTCTTGTGTGATTTGCACGCCGGGCTTGCTGTAGCGCTGGTTGAACAGATCGAACTTTTCCATGCTGGCGTGGGTGACTTGGCCGCTGGACGCCGAGGCCAGCGGCACGCGAAAGGCAATATGGGCGCTGACTTGGGCGCGGATCCCGCGGAGGTACACGGGCGCCGGCTGCTGATCGAAGCTGTCGCTCAGCGTGGCCTGCAGCGAGATTTTGAGCGTGCTGCTGGCGCCCACGCGGTAATGCGCCGGCGCCCGTAGCACCAGGAGCGACGTTGCTGTTGCGTCGTCGTGTTTTTCACTGCTGCCCCCGCGCAGTCCCGTCGTCAGGCGTCTGAGCGACGCACGCCGCTCTCTGATGCTTGGTTCCGGCGTCGATGGGCGCGATTTGCGCTCCAAGCGTATGGGTGGCGCGGGGAGAAGAGGTGGTCGGCTGGTGATGTCGAGCTCTGGGACCGACGGGCTGAAGCGGAGTTGCTGTACCACCACGGGGTTCAACGTAAATGATGTTTGCTCGGCGACGTATTCGGCTCTCAGATAGTACTCGTTGCAAATGGTGCTTTCATGCCACCACAGCGACGGCGGAAGCGGATGGCCCTTTTCATGTGCAAAGAGGGCGTCTGGCTGATATGGCGCTTCGTTTTGCGGCCTGGGTTTGGCCTCGACGGCCTCTGGAAACCGGAATTCAAAGGGATACTCTACGCGCGAAGAAGGGCAGGTCGCACTGCGTGTCGCGCTCCGTGACAGCGTCTTGTCGTGGCGGAAGAGCTCGACTTCGGCCACGTGTGGATTCGCCGGGTTGCGGTCGTTGGAAATGCGACATGTCGTCTTGCCGATGAACTGGATGTTGACGCGCTTGATCTGCAGCCGCGCCTTGACATGGACTACGCCCTTGACCAGGTCATTGTTGGTGTGGATGGTCCGCCGGCTTGACCTTGTGAAGGCAATCGAGATGGGCCCTTCTGGCGTGTTTTGGCGATCTGCATGGTGGTGGTCGCTGTACAACTGCGGTTGAACCACGTAACTGTAGAGTTGACGCGCCGACTGTGCTTGGCTTGGTAGTGCGGCTGCCATCCAGATTCCAGGAGCAGCTCAATAACGGGCAGTGGTAGGGCTCGAAGATGAAGACTCTGGGCGGTAACGTCGGCTTGGATGGATGTGTAATCGAGGTCAGCCACGTCTTACTGGGAAACGAGCGTCTGCCCTAACGCGAAGAAGCCCACGAGGAAGCGCGGTAATATACCCCGCTTCTGTATGACATGATCTAGATGTACTCGGCCGACACACGCCAATTTTGCCTTTGCTGGGCCGCAACTGAAGTTACCGCGATGCCGAGAACAGTCGGAGCCCCATGCTGGGGGGAAATGGTCCGTCGCCGAAAGATAGGCATGGGGCCCGCTAAGCAAGGAGGAGCCCCAGGTCCATGATAACGGCCACAATGTGGAGAAATACAGCGCAGCATGGCGATGTGGACGCAGAAATGTTCGACTGGGGAGATAAGAAGAACATGGGCGCCGACCTGGCAATTGCGTGTATCCGACTTGGGTCCTTCAGCCTAGCCTCGATCTGGCGCGCTTCCCCTCTTCTTTGATCCGTACTTCCCGGATGCGCCTCACACGACAGGTAAGCAAGTGCAAGCGTGCGTCACGAGCAGCACTCGGCCAGGTGTGCGAACCATGGCACGTATGGCTGGTGGCTGGCGTAAGTATCCATGGCAAGCGGCTGTGCACTTCTGGGCAGTCCTGGTCGCCCGCCTCGGAACAGCCACGCCGTACATCCTACACCATCACCCTGATGCCTGTTTCATACCCACCTCGATCCTCTGTATGCTCAGCACCCAGCTAAGCGCCGTACACGGTAATGCCCTCCCGTCGGGCTTGCGGCACAGCAGGGGCATGCTGGACTTTATTCTGACCTCACCCGTCGCTTCGGTTCTTCACCCAGACTTGCGGTGAACAGGTCAAGCTATGCTGTATCAAGATTTTGTAATATTGCTGCCTACAAAGTGAGGCTTCGTCCCTCATGTATCCGCTGGTTTGTTCCCGCTATACGGCCGCCCATGGCAAGCAGCCGAGACGGCAGACGCAATCATCACCAAAATCTCGATACGCCAAATACTACAGGACGGAAAATCTCTAGAAACAGAATGCTATTCTACAGAAATACGAATATTAGTAACAATTGGGTTAACCCCAATGTACCCGTGATTTGTTACTAAGAGTCCATCAAGACACCAGCGCCATGCATCCAGTAAAGAGACATCCAAAACAAAAACTGTAACAATGAAAACGAGGGGACACAACATACACAGAATACCTAGTAATGAGACATGTAGAAAGATGCCCAAAGAAAAAACATTCTAGGAAAGCCATGCATCTACAGAAAACTCCAGGCAATCAGTTCGACATAGCCAAAAAGCCCGTCTGAAGTCAAATTCCGGTGCGCCGTAAGAATTGTGACAACTAAAAACGTTAACAGCTGGATCGTCATGAGGGGCTTTAAGATCTACCTAGTTGGCCATTCGTTGGCGAGGATCTGCCTCGTATACCGTGCACCTGTTATCGCGCCAGTGGTTGTTGCAATTGGCACATCCAATGTCCGTCTTGCAGCTGTTGTCGCCGTTGCACATGCAGCATATCCATCGCCATATCTTGGGACGTTCGGGCCGCTGCGTATACGAAGCGTGGCTGGCATGTTGAAAGGTCGGCATGGTTGTATTGGGCGTGGTGTGGTAATTTTCTTAGTGCCGAGTATAAAGAGATATCAGAGTGCGTGATGAAGAAAATGATGAGAAGATATAGGCGGGTGTAGAAAGCAAAAGCGCTTTTATTTCTATCTTCTTATATTCCAGCACCAACATTACAGTTGAAGAAGAAACGCACCAGAGGGAATACGCACCAAACCATGCTGTCCTGAGGTCCTGAGGTCCTCTAACATGGCTATGCCACCACCACAGCCCGTCGCCTTCCGACAACCAGGCCTCACATCAACATATCCCATGGCCTCCACGCTTCATTCTGCTGCCTGAAAAAGCAAGCGCTGCGTGCGTCCTTCGACCCAGTGCCCACCATGCCAGTCAAGCGAAAGAGGGACCACGAGCAAGAGAGAAGCGGTGTGCAGCAAGTCGAAAAAAAACTACCCAAAAGACACGAGAAGAGTAAAGGCAGAAGAAGGAAAAGGAAAAAGTGGGTTCTCGCAAGGCATATTGCACCCCGGTAAAACATCCTGAGGCACGGTGAAGGATGTACACGCAGAAATACGGTTGGCGGCCACGATTTGGCGGCCTGAGCCATGCTGAAACCCGTTACACGACCAAAATGGCTGCCTTTAATCGACGCACAGGACATCAGAAAGAGGATTTCAAAAAAACAAGGCAGATGAAAAAGGAAAGGAAAAGGGGCCTGAGGAAGATGTTTGCCTGGTTTCGAGTGTTAGGCAAACATAATGGCCGCCGCTATTTGGTCCTCCAAAGGCTTGCCGCAGCAAGCACGCTAACCCGACTTTCGGGCGTGTCCTTGGCTGATACAACACGATTTCTTGTTGTGTGCACGTTTGATTTCCTTTGCCCAATAGTCTTGCTGCAGCCTTGCTGACAAGTATGCATTTGTGACCCAGCTGCTTGGAAGGAGTATCTACTGCTGCTGAGGGTGTGTTGCCGTCTCCAGTACCTGCGTATCTGCATCCTCGGGCTTTTATGTGAGATCATCTCGCATGATAATTTGAGTCAAGGCATAGTGTTTTATTCCGCAATTACTCTCACCATACATACGTCAATGTGAGGTGGGAAATGCGGCATCAACGTTGCATGCCGCGAAAAGTATCCAATCAGCAGTGGGAAATGGTAAAAACATGAAATGTGCAAAGACAGCAAATTCTAGAAATGATGATATTGCTCTATGAACAGCAACGAGTGAAAACCCGAATGATATCCCCAAAAAAAAAAGAAACCCTCCATCAGTGCGATGCCCTATATGAAGCAATGCTAATGGCGGTTTCGAACATACCAATGACACCAGCTTATGCAAGCTCGCTGAAATGCTAGAGACCACCAAATCCAAAAATTCACTCTTACGAGAAGCGGGGCTCAAACGAGCCAAGCATAGTCCACCAAGTCGACCAGTCCACCAAAAAGCCCACAGGGGATAGCACCAGGACAAGAGCATGACAGACGGCCCCCTGCAGCTGCATTGTCCTCTTCTTAAACCATACTAAATCCGGCGGTAGATGTCGGGACATGGAAATAGACGGGGTAAACTTGCAAAAGTGCCTCTATGCGGTTTCCTCCACCCTGCAAGCAGTGCATCTTGGATGCGAGCATGATGTGCAAACGGGCTGCCAATTGCCCCAAGGTCCATCATGGCATGACGAACAAAACCAGACCTTATGGCCATCCGTCGGTTCCGGCGAATGACGGGGTTCGCTCCAGGAGAGTATGGGTGAGGAGGGTGCCGACATGTCAGGACCAGAAATGTTGTCATTGAAGGGAGAGCTGACGGTGCGCAATAAGCCCTCGTGGTGAAACATGGAAGTAGTTTCCGTATTGTTGATGAGTGAGAAAATACCAGTCCCCTGCAAAGATGTCGGCATAGTGCTGGTCTTCTCGCTCATGTTGCTGGTAGTGTGATGAACGGCCACGACAATAGCTTTCGTAGGCAGTAATGTGAGTGTAGACGATTTGGTCTAGAAGTAGAAGGTACTGAAGTAAATGGTGCGTTTGTGTGCTGGAATGATGAATTGCTGTGCGAGGGAATGATATTTAATATGCTCTCCGCCCATGCAAGTGCAGACTGCGGGAATGCCTTGCCTTCTCTCTCCCTGATACCGCGCATTTCGCCGACGATCCTCCACGAAGGCCTCCAGACTGATACTGAGGCACCGATTCGATAGCTTTGGTGACGAGGCATACAGACCTGGAGTGTGAAGCTGAGCGGTGGCCAGTCAGGCGCGGTAGGTAGTGGAGGACCTCACAAGCCCCTGAGCGACAAGACAGACATGACTAGAAGATGACGAATAGCCATATTCCTGCGTGGTCAATGCGCGGCGGACATTGTCCTCGGGTCTAGACCAGACGTCTAGGTTTCCCTGTGTGCCTTGTTCAGGTAAAAAGAAAGCCCAGAGAAGTCTGATCATCGCCACCGCTTTACCGGTGGATGAGGCAAGGGATCCAGCAATGTACTGCAAGTTTACACGGTACATAACCAATGTGGTCATGCAGTTTAACCTAGTGGAGATTTTCAATGTCCAGGGTCAGGAAAGAGACGCATTACTCCACTTGCCTGTTTGCCTGGTTTGCCTGGTTTGCACGGTGGGGCGGACATAGCGCCGGGTAAGAAGAGTCATAGACGTTAGTTCCTGTTCCTCTCTCGGTCAGCGGATGAAGTAATACCGGACCGAGTGGATTATTCTCCGAACTCACTGCTGTGTAGCTGCGCACTATAGTAGACCAATCAAAAGGACCAGGCCTGGCATTTGCTAGATTGGAGAACAGTCAAAATTATTCATCAACCGTGCTCTTTGCCATGTTTACACTGCCACACAGACTTGGTACGACATGCGAAATCGTGAAACCAAATCCTAGTGTAGGAATGGTAGTCCGGTGAACCTTTTGGTTGGAGAATAAGCTCTCGCAACTCTAGGCAGCTTCGATCAATGCCTGGATCTTTTGACCAGCGGAGTCGCCCGTAGCTGTTTTTCGTGTATCAGCTGCCTCTACCAACGCCAGACGTTCAAAATTTTGCAGCAAAGCATCGCCATAATGCGTGTATAGTGCTGTAGCCTGTGAGTCTGGGCCCAGCCGAAGCTTTTGCTATGCAATGACGACCCGGTAGCAGCTGCCGCTCGCGGCGGAGTTGTGGCGGTGCAAGATGGAGCTTATAGGGCTGTGACAGTCGCTCGATTGCGCCGGTAATGCTAGTTAGCCTAGTCTTGGGGTGAAATTGGATGCGCACGTGTCGAAGCTCAGAGGCTGTACTACACAAAGTCAGTCATTTGGTCAAGAAGGTTCGGTAAGATTCTGAATTCCCATACCAAATTTGAGCATTTCCCCATTCAGGCATAATTAGGCAGACTTGGAGCGTGGTGAACGGTAGTGAGGCGAGCGTTCGCCGGGCAGTGGGTCGGCATACTCTAGATGATTTCAAGTCCTGAGGGGGCCTGCGCATTTGCTCTACTCTTCGAGGAGGACGCAGTGTATATACTCGAGAGTTTTTAAGCCTTGTAGTGAGAAACGGCTTCATTCGCCCGACGCACTCTCACTTTGCAGCCCTTGCGTCTCCAATGACTACACATGGCGGATCATGTCTTGCCGCAAGCGGCGAGAAACATTGTTAGAAGCGCTATAATTTCGACATTCCCACCATACAAGGCGGATGAAATGCGAAAAAGTGAGGCTATCCGTGTTTCAATGCAGCCTTGCGAGTCCGGTCAGTTGAACCGGGTTAGCTTCGATGGAGTCCTTCGTCTGAGAGCCTCGGCGGTGGGAGCCCGTGGTGTCACAGGTGCTGGAGGACCTGTGTAGTCCCATAAGAATGCCCTAAACACGAAACAAGCAAAGCAGCGGGATATTCCTGCCAGACAAGGCTGAAGAGGATGCTATGAGGTCCTCATGCAGGATCGCGTTAGTGGGAGGCTTGCTCATGGCGGCCAGTGCCATCCAACACAAGTCGCCAGGCCATCCGCTGGCATGGAAAGGCGTATACTGTTGCTTTGGACTGGTGCTCAATGAAGAAGACGATGGATGTGAAATGTCGGGTGTCTGTCCTGGGCTGGTTGACACTAAAAGTAGCTATGACGTCGGCAGCGGCGGTCCTCGGCCGATTGGACAGCGCGTCCCGCGCGCGACACCGACTACGAGACGTGAATTACTTGGATACGTGCCAGCTACGAGCCAACGCGCAACCGAGTGCGGGAGAGGATCCAGCTGCCATCTTGACATTGCGCATCCGAGTGACGTGGTGTGTCGCCGGCATTGCCAAGCACCCGGCTGAGCGGGCTTCCGGCAATAGCTGCTGCGCATGGTGCGCGACCTTGGCCGCGCGGGCTGTGTCGTGCAACACCAGGACGCCGTCTCTCCAACCTTCTCTCCAAGGCCCTTGGAGCGAGCGCAGCCATCGCACCGGTTGCAACATCCGTCCAAATGACCCCGCGAACCGCCATGGCTGCGCAAAAGCCCGGCGCCGTCAACACCCCCGCCATGGAGCAGAAGATCGGCCAGGCAACCTCCGTCATCATCCCTCTGCTCGAACTTGGCGCGTTGGGCTACGAAACCTGGGTCTTTGTCTACTTGATCTGTATCCAATATCTCATTACTCCCACGGACACTCTACGGCGCGACTTCGACATCCGGCCCCGGCGGTCTACTGGCATCGCCCTCATCGTCGTATACGCCCTGTTCCTGCTCTTCCTCACCATAACTTGGATGCGCCTCTTACAAATGATATGGTCCAGGCCCGACGTCGTTCCGCTCGGCGATGCGTCGCAAGAAAAAGAAGATGCAAGCACAAAGGGCTTCGCATTCGACCATTGCGATGCATTCATCTCCGACTACCAAGGGCTTCCGCTCTGGTGCGACAAGTGCCACAACTGGAAGCCGGACAGGACGCATCACTGCAAGGAACTGGGCCGCTGCGTGAGGAAGATGGATCATTACTGCCCTTGGGCTGGCGGCATCATAGCCGAGTCGACACACAAGTTCTTTATGCAATTCGTGTCGTACGCAGCCTTGTATACAACCTTTACCTGGATCGTGGTGGCCGTTTTCCTGGCGGAGCGCAACTCAAAGGTATGCGGCAATGCTATTATGGACATGTGAAATGCTGACACAATGTAGATGGGTTCACGGCCCGGGACCTGGATTGGCGCACTTGTAACAGGCGTACTCTTCAGCATCTTCACCTTCACCATGTCGTGCATGACTAGCTGGAATCTCATGATCAACTACACCTCGGTCGAAGGAATCCAACGCGGCGGCATTCACAACATCGCCTTTCTCATCTCGCCACCATCCCCCCGTTCCAGCGCCTCGGTCTCAGCACCTGAGACCTCGCCGTCCCCGTCCAGCAAACACCACAAGAAGGGTCTCAGCAATCGCACCGAGAAAGAGGCAGCCGAAGAGGACTGGCCTATTCTGACCACTGTTACCCGTCCCTCGAAGCGCTCGTACGTGGTGATGCAGACCAAGCCTTTTGAACATCCCTGGTATACAACTCTGATGCAGGGCTGGAAAGACACCATGGGAAACAGTATCATCGACTGGCTTCTACCACTTCGGCAGAGCCCCTGCAAGGAAAAAAGTCACACGGGCGAATTCGCGTGGGGCGAGGTTGTGTACGACATGGCGAGGATGTACGAAGAAAAGAATCCCGGATCAAGACTGGCGCTGCTTCACGGCTCAAGCAAACGATGATATTGCTCTGTGTTCGGCGTCATTTTGAACTCTCTTCAGCGACTGAGCGTATATATTTCTTTTTTTTTACTCAAAACATGTGATACCCACCTAGGTTGTAATGTAATGGCTGTACCCGCGTCAACGGCCCGAGGCCAGAAAAAGCAAACAAATTGAAAAAATCATGGAGCAGAAAAGCAATTCTGGACATGACGTCGGCAGACTTTAACTCAACGTCACGTCTTGACATGACTTGGGGCAAATTTATGTTCTCGCAGCAAGACTCTCTTCACCAAGCGGCCATGTTCACACGAGACCATGACGTTGGCCCTACGTCGCACAGAGATCAAGTGGCCACCCGACACTCAGTCACACCTATGACGCATCCACGTGGACTCAGCCAAGTAGTCACTAAACCTAGCAGCAGGGGAACCTCATCATCCGCATGCACATGCACACCATCTCAATAGCCATGTCGACTAGGCCAGAAGCGAGACCAAAAGACGCTTTCCTACACCAATGACCATGTCAGGCCTACCTTGCAAGCACAAGCGCAAGTGTAAGAGGAGTGATGGTTAAGCGATCTACAGGCCCGCTCACGCCGTAGTAGGGTACAGCGGTCCAGACATGTCTCTGTTCCCAAGCACAAGTGCACCAGTATACCAATGCAGGCTATCCTAGCCTATATCGTGGGCCCAGACCTTTTGTTTTTCTTGCCTCATTCTTTCTTTATCACCCAACCACGGCTTTACCCGATGACGCAATGCCAATGCACCGGTCCAAGTGCGATCTACACGCACCTTTATGCGGACAAGTGTCTGGATGCGAAGATCTTGTCGAGTGATGGGTTGTTGGGACAGCGCAAAGTGGGGTGGAGAGGGAACGGGGGGGGATTAAGGATTAAGTACTTTGTTGGGTTTCCTTTTGATCGACGGGCGATGTCGGTCAAATGGTAGGCAGAGCCAGAATATATAGCTGGTATGCGTAAGTTTGGTTATGGGACGGGTGAGGGGAATTTTTTTTTGGTCGGTTGGTTGTCGGTTCGCGGCGGACGGGATGAGCCGTCGCATGGGTGGGGGGAATGATGGGTTAGGTTGGAGCCACTGCGCGATTACCAGTTGCCAACGTCAGTATGCGAGTAGAATTGGTCTATGGTGTGCATTAAGCGCCGTGATGGCTTTGTTGTTTCTGCGCATATACTGTTGAGAGGCACTGCTAATCAGTGACTAGTGTGCCCTCTGCTCAGACGCCGCGTCGAGTTTCCCCCAAGCCGTCGTCTTACCAAGCATTTTCCCTCGCCCGACGGGAGATGTGCAAGGAAACCTTCTTTCTGGCGAGTTCCGAACAAGCACAGACGGCGGCGGCGGCAACTGCTGATTACACTTGGATGATCAGTATCTACTCGACGCCCTCTTCTTCTCTCTGGGTCCCTGTCCCAGGGTAGCACCGCGGATATTGCCATGATACAGTAATATGGTGCAGGAAACCCCATGAACGACAAGTCATGATCGTCGGCTGTATAAGCCCGCGTCCCCTTCCGCGTCCCCGTCCATCATACGACGGACAACAAAACGAAACGAAACAGCCGCGCTCGGAAATCCCGGGGGGTTGGGGCTTGAGGCTTGAGAGATCCACGCAATGAGGAGCTGTCTGTCTGTCTCTCTCTCTCTCTCTCTCTGTGTGTGTGTGTGTGTAGGTGTGCATGGAGATCCTCGTCTCCCTCAGCTAAATGGCTCGTCGGTTTCGCATCCCAGAAGCTAGAAAATGACAGTGAAGCTTGGTCATGCGCGCTGAAACTCGAACGAGCAAGATCTGTTTGCACCACGACTCATGACTGCATGTGTGTGTGGCAACATCACCGTGCGCATCACGCTCACTCACTCTCTCCCTCTCTTATCTCTCTGCAAGGCTGGGGCTGCAAAGTGTATGTCGATCACAGAAGGGCTGGATGCTTTCGGAGAGTTTCCCACATGACCGTTTCACGTAACCATGGTTGCTATATATGGAGAATGCTTGTCCGTTGAGAGGCGAGGCAATGTCGCAAAAGGCGAGCGCTAGGGCCGGGATATACAGACATAGTTTTGATATTAGGCTTCTAGGCTTTGCCAAAATCAGGCCACCTGGATACTCACTATTGGGAAGGCAAACCCAGCCAGTTCAAGGCAATTGGGGCGACACCAATGCAGACAGAGGCACACGGCGTACGGGCACCCTCTCCCTCGCCTTTGCCGTCTCTTTCTCGCCAAACATGAAAAAGAGTTGGTCACCGCGCTTGTCAGTGTCAAAAGGGACAGTGAGTACATGGAGATGTGTTTCCGATGTCAGGGCTTACTCTGCGCCCTACCCTGTCCCTCCCTCGCTCCCTCGCTCCGCCCCCGTCGAGATTCGGTGGACGTCATCATCTCCTTTTTAAATTATTGCCGGACTATTGAGCCATGGTTAGGCATCCCCGGAGAATTGCCCAGCTTTTAAGGAAGTGATGGTCGGAATAGCCGGGGTGGTCATGGCTTTTGCAGCAGGGTTCGGGTAGCGGCACTGGGGCGAGGGCAGAGGCAGCCCTGGCTCTGATCTCCCGAAGGGGGGCGAGGGGGACAGTGTGTAGGTTTCTCGCACCAGCCAAGTGGTCGATCATAGAGGACGATCTCTGCAAGGATCGAGCAAGACCCTCATGAATCGGGACGGCCCAGATTTGGGAGGTGGGATGATTTAAAAACCAGTTTGTGGGGGGTCGGCCTGGCCACCCACACGGGCACTGACAAGGGAATGGCGAAGAAACGGACAATGCATGTTCCGCGCCACGGAGACGGCGCAGGCCATGCAAGAGCCGGGGGCATACATGCGCAATCATAAAGGTTCGGCAGATCTTGTGTCGAGAATTCGATATTTCGAAACATGTCATGGCTCAACTGGTTCAGACATATCGCGGAGCGGTCCCTAGCCGGAAGAGCACACGCCCACGCCCAAACACAACGGCCATGGTGCATTGCAGCGGCGCAGAGCAAGGCCGTTGTGCGTCAAGTTTTGGAATCGCCTGGTGAAACGCCGGAACTTTCAATCGCGTTTCGAGCATAGCGTCGACGCGTGATGGCCTCAAAGATCAGGGTGAGAGGCAACAAACTTTCCACTTTGGGACCCTCTGGGGCCTTGTGCCCAAATGTGGCCTTTTGGGCTATAGGCACAGCAAATGCACTAGAGAATCGATAGTTTGAAGCGCCAGGGTCGACATCCATGCATAGTGCGCCCTGCCGGCGGGTTGTTTCATCGTCCATGTGCCAAGACAGCTTCCCTCTCCAACGCCGTCAAGGCATTTGCCCGCCAGTCTAGACGTCGGCAAAGCGTGTCACCCATCACTCGGCATCCTGTCATGAACATGTGGAGGAATCATATCTGTGTATGTGTGTGTTGGATTAAGGCTATCTTTGAGTGAGAGAGAGAGAGAGAGAGAGAGAGAGAAAGAAAGAAAGAGAGAAAAGAGAATAATGTGGCCGAGGCCGAATGAAGGAAAGAAAATCTGTCCGTTGAAGCAACCCATATGCGCCGGCGGCATGGCAACTTCCAATACTCCATATCCCATGATGCAAATGTATGCTTCTATCTGGGCCCCCAGGGTATTTTTTTGACACAAAGAAAAGTCCGGGTGGCCGATGCAACCCGTGCAAGCTCGTGATATCTGCTGGTGCCGATGCAGAACCCGAAAAAAGATGAAATCTCGCCCAAATCAATAACGAAAATCGACAAATTTTTGGCTCAACCAGTAAAGCGCGAGCTCAAGTGGGAGCAAACAGTATGCGTTACAAGCGTAACCATGTCTAAAGCGGAACACGAACGAGCCATGGGACTAGACTACGCCTCAGGCCCGTTGGCTTCGCGTTCGCGTTGCTCCTTCTGTGGGGCCCGGCGACGTGCGTTGATGAACCAGTTGGAGACCTGAATAGTGTCAGTAACTGTCTGGTACGAAACCGTGGCATCATGTGCAAGTGCTTCAAGTCAAAGTCACTGTAGCAGGACGGCCCGAAAGCACGCTTCTGTCTACAGAATGACACTGAAAGACAGTCATGGCACATGTAGTAAAAGTGCCAAGATTGACGTTAAAGCTGCTACAAAATACGTACCTGATTCAAGCTCAAGCCAGTTCGGTTGCAGAGCTCCATCTTCTGGTCTTCGGTCGGGTAAGGAGACTGTCGGTTCGCCGCAAACCAATCCTTGAGCAGGTTGGTCGCCTCCTTGGGGAGGTTTCCCCTTCGCTTCCTGTTGAAGGCGTTGTGGTCGAGGCCAACATTGTGCTGGAAGCGAATGTCGCCATAGGGCGCATCGTAGCCGGAATAAGCAGGCCGGGGGTAGAAGGAATCCTGTGGCCGATCATAGCTGCTGTACGCCGGGGCTTGGTGGTCGTGGTAATAGCTCTGCTGGCCCATGGGGGGTTGGTAGGCGCTTTGAGCAATGGGCGCGTGTGCGGAGGGCTGCGCAAAGGGAATGTGGCCTTGGGGAGCCGGAGACGACTGATGGCGAACATGAGGATGCATCGGGGGTGCCTGTTGGTGCGGTGGTGGGTACGACGGACTTGGGCGGTGAGAGTAGACGGATGGTACAGGGGGTGCGGCATGCTGGTAACCAGAAAGGGCTGGGTCAATGGCGCTCATGCGGCGAGGCTCAGCAAAAGACTGGTCAATGCTACCACGGGCGTAAATGTCACCAAGCGTATCTACACGCCTGCGCTTGCTGTCGGCCCATGCAATCTCGTCAAAGTGGGGCGGTGCGTGAGGGGAGCTGTCTGTCGAGCCATTGCGGCGCTGCGGTGTCCTTGGAGGTGTGGTCGTGCGGGTGGTGTGAAGAAACTGCCAACGTCAGATGTTGCGCAATTTTGGGCTTGAAACAAAGGGGAAACGCATACCTCGGAGAAGGATGGGAGTTTGCCGGGAAAAGCTTGTTCGCCGGGTTGGATTGGTGGAGAGCTGCGCATGTGATGGTTCTGGACGTCTGTCAGAGAGGTGCTCGATTGAGAAGATGACTGCTGCCCGGCGGGAGAATGGGCATTGGTGCTGTCCAGAGAGGCCGTCTGGTTTGGTCCACGCGTTGCCGCCGCCGTCGTCGTCATCATGGTTGTGGGTGCATAATGACTGAGATGTCGCCGTGGCAGGGGAGAAGGGGAGCGTTGGCGAGAGGGGAAGGAGAGCGAGCGAGGCAGAACGGTGTCTTGGCTGTATTGATGCATGACGCCATGGCCTGGGCCGAGTGGATGGTGAAGGGGGTCGAAGTGAGGAAGAGGAAGAGGAGGATGTGGAGGATGTGGATGTGGAGGAGGAGGAGGAGGAAGGGCGGCGTGCTTGGCTCCCCGGGCAGGCGCGTATGCAGAGGCACGGAAGGCGCCAGGCAGTGCTGGGGATGGGGCTCGGAGGGCAGGCTCGAGAACAAGGGGGGCGGAGATGGCCGAAGGGGCGGCAATGGAAATAGAAGAGGCGGGTTCATGACTTACCGCAGCGACCATGTTCGCCAGCGAACTCTCGGCAGAGCGTGAGGAGGTCATGTTGCGCGAGTGTAGCGGTTCACAATGGCGGTGCGGAATATCTTGGAGGGTAAGATATTCCATGTGTGCAGGCGGCAAAGGGCTTTTGGTTAAATACTCTGGCAGACGAGGCATGCGTTAGCGAATGGTGCGGTGCGTGTCAATATGTTGATGGTGAGTGGACAAAAGGCATGGGCTCATCCATAGTTGCTGACAGCTTGGTACCAGCGTTGACTGGCACCGTTGAGTGCCATCACCCACGAGCGGGGTCCCAGGCGACGGAGCGTGTGCGGACAGTGGTTACTTACCCAGGTATTTAGGTGGTGGTGATGTAACAGGTCGCTCGATGAGGCAACGCAGGGGTCCAATACAGAGCTACCGAACCAAGAAATAGATATCGCAGGTATGTGCGGGAGTGGGGGCGGGAGCCAAAGGAGATTATTATGGTACAGAAAGCTATGCGGGACTTGTAAATGTACAGAGGGGAAAGAGAGCCACGGTGGAGGGGGTGGAGCGAGAAGGAGAGCCGGCGCAAGCACACAGCGAAATGGTGAAGAAGCAAGATGAACTGGGAGAGGGAAGGGGAGGAGGGGGGGGGGAAGAGGGCGCGGTTTGGGTGGTGACGACGGGTGCGAGGTGTTTAAGAAGCCAGCGTGCTCGCAAAGGAGGCGTTTATGGGCCAAGCAAAGACTGCAACGGGCCGTACAATTAGCCATGCACTTTGATCTTGCAGCACGAGCAAAGGGCGCCAGGGGGGATGCTAGCAGAGGCCAATCAAGGACGGGCAAGGCCGTTTAGCAAGACGTCTGTAGACTTGACAGGTGAGGGTTAAGGTTTGGTCTATATTCTCCGAACGTGCACCCTGGGGGCTCTGGCCGGATAGAGGCCGAGGGTAGGAAACAAGAGACGCTCAGCCTACGCCGCAGATTCGAGGCACGAGCCAGCGCGCTGAAGCTGCGCCGTCTTGCTGCAAGCGCCATTGAGCGTCGCCGGTGTCTCCACCTCTCGAACCGTCGCAGATCGGGGCTGCTGCTGACTCGGCGCAGAAACGGACCAGGGTGTCGTCTGTCTCTCGCCCATTTTGTCGCACGCTGGCTGCCGATTACCTCATCTGCGCGCCCACACACTGGACGCCGCAGCCCTCTTACAACGTTCCAGGACGGCGAAGCACAAGCGGGCGGTTGGCCAAGCCCCGCGTGCAGCGCCAGCGGGTGGGTGGCGCCTTGAGGATGGCGACCAAGCCTTGCATTTGCAGAGCTAGCCGGGAAGTGTTGGGAAGGGGGGAGGGGGGTTCTGAGGCACAGCTGCGCGAACAGGAGCGAGGGCCGTGGCGATTCGCGGGGTGGTGATGGTGTTGGTGGTGGTGGTGGTGGTGCTGGGGGGTTGCTTGGATGCTTGGGAGCTAGCTGGTGGGAGGGAGCTAGGTACTCGACGCTAGCCTGGAATTTTGCTGGAACTCCGTAGCACGGGGCCATTTGGGAGATTGCGCACACTACACGACGACGAGGCCGACGCCGACGCCGACGCCGACGACGACCGCGATGAGCAGCCGCAGAGGGTTGTATGGGGCGTCGAGTCGAGCATCGAGGGCAGTCGTCGGGCCTGAGAGCTGTCGTGCATGTCACGGCACACAAGACCAGGTACGATGGCCGGCAGACAGCTGCTGCCGGACCAAACCAGGCTGGTGGCTGCAGCGTGTAGGCAGTTGTGCGACGGAGCCTTACCAGCAGCCGGGGTGGTGCGACTGGGAGCGTTGGGAGGGCCAGCGAGGCGTTTGTCTAGCCGGACAGGAATAGCAATTGAGGCGACGGCATGCGACACATGGAGCATGCTCGACAGGCGGCGGGCGGGAGGTGATGCACGGGCTGGAAGTGTATTGTGGTGGCAGTATAGTAGTCGCAGCAGCAGCAACAATACGCTGTGCGTGCAGGGCGTGCTCTGGGCCAGGAACGACTTGACTGGGGAGCCGTCGCCCCGTCGGACCCTGAATCAGGCAGACACAGGCCCAGCCGCCTGCCTGGCTGCCTGACTGCCTGGCTGTCTGGCTGTCTGGCTGTCTGGCTGTCTGGCTGCCATGAGTGAGGGTGGGCGTGTCCATGTGTCCATGTGTCCACGTCCATGTGTCTATGGTATGTATGGTATGCTGACACCGACGCCGGCGGCCATGGCGTGCAGCGGCCGTGGCAGTGACAGAGGGCGTCGAGGGCGAGGCAGGGCGGGCGCTGGCCACGGGCGGGCGTCATGGGCGGGAATCCAAGGCCGCCCGGGCTCGTCTGACAGATGTCAGTCTCATGCAGAGCAACTGCCCTGGCCAGCAGCAGCTTGGGGGAAAGTGCGACGACGTCTGCGCGCCTCGGTGATGGGCGGCAGGGATCTCGCCCCGCCTTGCCTCTCTCGGCGTCGCGCCTGCCCGCTCACGCCGATCACATTCCCGCTAGCCGGCCGATCAAACAAACACTCACCGAGGGCTGCACCTTCCTGCGCCTGCGCCTGCGCCTGCTGCTCCTGCCGCCGCTGCGACCTCGCTCTTTCCTTCCCTCGTGCCGGCCACTGCCGCGCCCCGTCGCCCGCGCCCTGTCACACAAACGAGATGAGACACGCGCCATGCTGCCCGGCCATGCCCTCAGGCCAAACTATGCGCCTCTCTCTTGCTCCCGCTAAACTTTGCCCTGTCCCGGCCGCTCTCTCCCCCTCCTCCCCTCCCCGCCCTCTCCTACATCCTACCCTGCCTATCCTACCCTGCCCTGCCCTGCCCTGCCCTGCCCTGCCCTGCCCTAGGCCATCTGCACACATACGCCCCCTCACATCCCTGGTCGTCGCCGTTATCAGCCGCGTGTCGAAGCATGACCCCCGCGCCCATCGCTTCCATCAAACACAAACACTCCAAGAACAGCACCAAAAGGAAAGAAGAAAAAAACTGCCCCCCCCCCCCAAACGCCTGCCCCAAGCCCCCAGCCAAGCCTCTCCCCTCGGCCACCTTTCCCCCCCTCGACAACCGCCCTCACACAAGCCCAAGAGACACGACCAACATCAGCGACACAAGCGTACAGCAGACGTTGGCCGCCTGACAGTACGTCAATTTGGTCCCTGGGCCGCCGCCATCCGTTGCAGTGCTGCCACCGCAACCCCCTCTTTGCGCCCTGATCCAGGGGGGCGGCCATCTGTCAGTCGCCGGCAGCACCACCACCACCACTACCACCACTACCAGCGTAGCCAGATGGCCTTGACACTACACTACAGCATTGTCTGCGGTTCCCTCCCCTCGGATCCAAGTGCCTACCACTCACGTCTGCATGCCGGCCCCAGCTTGGCGCCGTGGCTCCTTGCTGCAAATGCTGCGTAGCCACCATGTCCTGGTGCAAAGTTCTTTGCACCGAGCAAGTCCTTGCACTCAGCGTCACAGCCTTTTCCAGTCGCTTAGTCTCTTCCACATCCAGCCACGCTCACTGGTCTTGTTACACCGGACGGCAGCCACGGCCGCCTTTTGCTGCTCAACGCAAACCTCGTCCTGCCCTCGGCCAACAACCCCCCCCCCCCCGCAAAAGATACTCACCCACGTATACCCACCATGCTAGCATCCCTTTTGTTCTCCCTCTCTCTCTCTCTTCCAAAGTGCCCATGTGCCTGCACCGCTGCCCGATGGTGCCTGCAAGAGTGTGCCCTCTGAGTCGACGCCTTCTAACCCACATGCGACGAAAGCGCCCTTGGATGCGCCTGGATGCTCCAGCACTCGTTTCTTGTACTCCTCATGTGGCATCTCTGGCCACCCCGCCAAGCTCCGATCATGCATGCCGTACCGACTGCGAGATGGTGGGATTCGATCCATGGTACCTAGGCCAGTGTCATGGGAACCACAAAGATCAAGAGGTAGGCAACCTGACGATAATCAGTTAGCCGGGCAGGTGGTATCTGTGGCACCTGTGCGAGGCTTGCACATCGCCATTCAAGACGCTCTGCCACGACATGCTCGGGAGCCCCACATATGCCGGGGCCAATGGTGCCCGAGGCCTCGCTGTCGTGGAAGAGTGGCCGTGTCTGCCAAAGACTGATTACAGAAGGCCGAGTATGCATGTCCCGTGGCACGACGCATGGTGGCGTACAAGCATCGGTTGGCCCATGAATGGTTGCGGTAGGGCAGCTTTCCGTCTTGTGGATGCAGCATGCCATTCCCACCATGACTGCATCATCATCTACCCGGTATCTGGAATTGCAGCGGCCATGGAGGTCCAGATTGTGTGCATAGAGGACGGCATTTTCCCGGCAGCCTTGTCCGATGGGCGCGCGCGCACACACACGCACACAATAGCCGTACCGACGGTGCTGAAACACTGCGGCTCGGCATCGTACGCCTGATGAGCCGACTAACCAAGCACCCGGTCGACGGTCTTGATACTGCGGGTAAAGGCTCTGTTTCTCGCATAAAGTGTGACATTAGCAACGTCCCAAATAGCGACCCGGGCCCGGCCATGTTTGCTTAGATGGATGTGTTAGCATGCAGCTAAACCTTCGCACAAGGTGAAACGGTGTAAGCTATTCGTGCTGGAGGCTTGAACCCACCAATGGCGGCTCACGTGTTTCAGGCGCTTTGGGCCAAC